TTTCTATCATTCTGCAACTTCTTATGAAAGACATAAACCCTGTCAAAATCTGTGTTCTGAGCTGAAACCTATAGATATTAGCTGTAAGACAAGGGATAACAAAATCACTCTGGATGCATTAGAGTTTAATTGGCCTCTAATATGCATTGTCAGGATGAAAATCTATTTTGGTTGTACCCCAAAGACGGTGGTGTGGTTTTGTTCAAGCTTGAAAATCAGCCTTATTTCACTTGACATAACTTTGCAACTTTGCCACTTTGCCTATAGAGGTGAAAGAATATTTTTCAAACATAGTTATGTGATTGTGGTCAATCCCAAACTTCTCCAAAAGTAATCCTAAGGGAACTCCCAACCAAAAGTCACTCGAGAGTCTTGCAGATGTCTGTGACTTCCAGCTGTAGGATTTTCTCCAAACTTCAGAAAATAAGCAGCATTTCTGGTGTGGGCAATTTGATTGCTGTGGGCAATTGCACTTCCAGATGGGGTGTGGGAGCAATTTGGATCATATCAGTATGACTAGGAAGCTTTCTGTTGACTTCAGCACTTAAATAGTGCAGATACTCATTTGGATACCAGAAGCCTCAATCATTCTGGCCCGAGCTGTTATTGAAAATACAGCTGGACACAAAAGGAGAAACCAGTCTTAAAAATCTAGTTCTTAGGGTATTTCTCCGTGGTATCCTTCAGGCCATAAGACTTCTAACAGAGGCACCTCACTGCAAAGTGTCATGTAGTATTAGTCAATGTTGAGTCAGAACAGGTTAGGAAGAGTGACTTAAAATATATTACCATCCTGCCCTGTATATCCTTCTCTCTCTGATGTTTCAGCTTGCAGCTTTTTGAACTCTCCTAAATATTCCTTTCCTCTGTATTTCATCTATATGCTGGAGGTTATATTTTTATATTTTTTACCTTGCTTTACGACCCATATTTGTTCATCAGCTATATCAGATTCTGACATACAGTTTCAAGAATATTGTGGCATTGGAAACAAGTTACCACTGCTAGATCCTTGTATTGCTATGCTTCCTTTCCCCAAAAGCTCTTGGTTAGACAAAATTATCTTGATTGTTTGGCATGAACAGTTCTGCTTGCCACGTATCCCAGGTAGCCTTTTTGTGCTGCATACATGCACGGTGATGGAGGAGAAAGCTGAAGAAGAATAGATTTGGGTAACTATTCACCACCTGAAGTCCTGCCTGCCCAGCAAAGTGAGTTTTGTTTCCACCTGGCACCTCTCAGACTTTCAGTCTCTGTGATTGTTTCTGCAAGGCAAACACAGTCAGCCCTCGGTCCTCTGTCATTCAGTTACCCAACAAAACTGATTGAAATGCTCTTGCTACCCCTGGTGGCAATGCTGCGCAACGATACGTTTGCTCATCCCTGTGCTGGCTGCCTCCTGTTCCTCTCTTGAGGCTTATTTGTGTCACTGAAGGTGGAAGCACAAAGGAAAATGAAGCTGCTGTTCACTGACTTATACTGCTTATCTTCCCTAAACCAAACTGTAAGAACAGCTGTACAGGTTAGTTCCAAATAATCTCCTGTTAGTGTGGAAACTTCACATTAAAGGCAGAAGAACACACTTTTGTAGATTAGCAGTCAGAAAAAGGGTTTTTTTAGAGCTGCTGGACATTTTGCAGGTGCAGTGCACCTTTCCTAGACCCAACAGTAATACCTAAACAGTGAGAGGTCTTACCCTTAACTCCTTGATGCTTCTTCTGCTGGTGAAGTATATACAAGAGGAATTTGCCCTTCTGGACTAAGGCTACCTGAGCAGCTGTCTGCAAGAAGCAAATTAGTTTTGCCTGTCTCTGTATTTATTTATTTAATTTGAGCCCTTGCTCTTGAGGACTGTGGTCATATGAAATCCTCATTGTCCCTTTCCCTGCTTTACCCTTCTCAGCACTCATCCCTTCCTCTTCTCCCACTTGCATTTATCTTCCTTTATTTTCAAGAAAAATTTGACAGTTCTACCCAGTTTTAGTCTTCAGAACAAAGAAAGAAGATGAGCCCTGGTTGGAATTGGAGAAAGCCTTATAATTTTATAATCTTGTGATTGTCTGTTTCTTGATACTTACATACCTAAGTTCGGCATAATGTGAAAACCTGTGCACTGTAAGTAGCTTAAACTGCAAAACAGAGTGGATCATCCCTTCGCTAGGGTGGCATTGGGAGGACAAGTGCTGGGATGTGAGTGTTTTTCCATCTCAGGGACTGCAGAACTGGAAGCACCTCCATTTTCTCTCCTTTGCTCTACACAGCTTACCTCTCAAACTTCCTTTCCCTTCAATGGAAACACAACAAACATGCAGGTTTGAATAAACTTAAGGCTTGGGGTTGTTTACTATCCAGTGGTTGTCTGAACTCCCCTGAGGACTCTGCCTGGATGCTCTGGAAAAAATTAGAGTGAGGTTTTAAGTGGTGGTCAGCCCACCCATTGCCACATAGGTCAAAGAGTAGCAGCCAGATGGAGACCTGTGTACTGGTTCTATCCCAGAGGGGGGTCAGAAACAGGCCAACAGCTCATCCTTTCAAAAAAATTGAATTTTAGCAACACAAGGAAGGGTAAGCCTTTGGAAAACAGAATCATAGACAAGAATGATTAGTTCCCTAGGTATGCCATGAAGGGTCCAGATTAGCAGATGTTACTTACCCTCAGACAAAGGTGAGAAAAAACCCTGCAGTCTTTTACACCCTGCTTCCTGCTACTTTCTGAATGTGGACAAGACACTCTGCCCTTACAGGGCTTCAGCTTTCCTTCCTGACTGCAAAGCTCAGACATACTCATTCCAGATGCCTTAGCAAAGTCACCAGGGGACTCTGGGAGCGGTGGAAAAAATACCACGATGCTTTGATGTGGAAGAATAGGCAAAATCTCCCTTTCCCAATTCCATCTGCACATGCTTACTGAGGCACCTGCAATCAGGCGGTCACTACAAATACAGCAAAATGGGTGGTCGTGCTCAGTGAGCCCAGCCTGCGGTATTTCTGATGCCAGGGATACAGAATTGACAGAGCAGGTTTTGGGTTTTGATGTGGAGGCACAATGAGAAAAGTACTAGACATGGGCAGAGGAACCTGCTGCTGTGACATAAGGCAAGGAAGGATTTAGGTGGGCAGCAGATACTTAAGAATAACTGCCCGTACGCATACCCTTAATCTACAGTAGACACAAGAAAACTGCATGTTCGTGTGAAAGAAATTAACTGCCTCCCACAAACAGAGGCTACCACAAATGGAAGAGCATGCACTCCAGCAGTTACCAGGATTACTGATGTGCTACTCTTCACAGCTATGGGCCCACACAGTATCATTTCCTCCCAGATGCAGCTCCATAGGTCTACTCCACCTATTGAAACATTCAATACCATTCACATAAACCAATTGTTTAGTAGTCAGTGATACTAAATTACCTGATCTGGTATGCATTTAAATCGAGGTAGAAATCCCTATGTCAAAGAAATACTATCTATTGCAAGACTGGACCTCTTGCCAGCTACACATCAGAACCCATTCCTACAAGAGGGTACCCAACAGAGATAGCTGGACCTTAGATCCAAGCACACCAAAGGAGGCAATTCCTCCTGTAGTGGGTTATGAATCTGTAACAATGTGTTGTCTGAAGACTCCTGCTGAGACTGGTGAAACTGCTTTTCTGAAGATGTAAGTGCTAATTGTTTGCATAATTTGAAAAAGCAAGATGGGATGAATTAATATAAAAGAAGTCCATGGAGGGCTCCTAACTGCACAGAAACTACTTCTGGCTCAGAAAGTTCCTGAGTTGAAACTAGTGGGAGGCTGGGAGAGGCACTGTAGGGATTGATTCACGGACTCTGGCACGGGTAAAACCAAAGACCTTTATTGTTTACAAGTTTGTGCTTATATAGATTCACTAGCTGTCCATGCGCTCTAGTTTGTTCATGGATTGGTTAACCCCTGCTGTCCACGCGCCGCAGCTAAGTTTTTAATTGGTGCTGTTAATCAAGACACATGTCTTCTAGTTTGGGTCTCACAGCTGTGCTTCAAAACATTTTTATCTTCAGCTCACTTTCTGCGCTTGCTTCATTACTTACTTTCTCAGACTATTTCCTTCAAGGCTATGTTGTTCAAGGTCGCTTGCAACACTCCCTGTGAATCCCACAAGGCACCAGTTTACAGCTTCTTCCAGAGACAGGATACTAGGCTAGATTAACCTCTTTTCTGATCCAATAGAGGCTCACTTTTAAGAGTGCTGAGTTCAGAGTTCACTTGTACAGTTCTGGGACACTAAAACGGAAGACTTGAATTTGGTTTTAATTCTTCTCCACCTCAGAGGGATCTAAGAAACATAAAGGCAGGCAATGTGAAAGAGTTGACTAAACACTTATGAATTGCAAAAAATGTCACTTGGAAGTCATGTTAAAATCTTGGTTTAAATGTTCTGTCTTAACAATTTTGTCTGTAGCAATCATAACGCTGTTTAGCAACCACTATATCTTACTTGTGTTATGTTTTGTTAATGTTTTTGCAGGTGTTCCTGAAGCAGAAGTTACTTGGTTTAAGAACAAGGTCAAGCTGTCCTCTGCTCACCATCTGCATGATGGGTTGCTGCTAATTGCAAATGTTTCTCTGTCAGATCAGGGGTTGTACTCCTGCAAGGCAGCCAATCTTCGTGGGGAGGTAATTGAAAGCTCACAGCTGTTGGTTCTTGGTAAGTCCAGGGTATTTCGCATTTGCAGCAATAGTAATGTGGCTGCTGACACATCTAGCCTACAGAACTAATCAGAGGATGCAGAAAGAGGGAATGGCACACAGGCAGCCCTGTTCTAAGAAAAAATCAGTCTGCATTTGTTCTCTGGGCAGCATCACCTGAAACAAGGTGGTGATAAAAGGAATATGGATAAGGAGAAAATGTCTAAGCACAGGGACTGCACCTCTTAGCCCAGAGGTATTCGGTTTCATTCTTTCAGACTTACTAGCTAAGAAAAGAATTTATTAAGCATTTCTTAAAGTGACTCTCTTGAAATGAGAACGATGCCACTTTTCCCTGTGAAGTGCTCTGCCCCTGCTGAGCAGCCTTTCTGTACATGGCTGTGTGATACCGATCCATTTTACACCTAACAGGTGCATAAACCCAATGCACTTTTAAAAAACACTTCCCAAGTTCACTGAAGGGTGAAGTTTACTTTCTCTTGGGTTTCTAGACAACAGACAGAAAGCCCAGCTGGGTGATTTGAAAAGACAATGTCAGCTGTGAAGTATGACTGGAAGCATTACCTGGTGGTAACTGGATGTGTGGGAAAGGGCCTTCCTTTCCTAGTAACTCGTCTTCTATCATTTCTCTATGCCTGGCAGATGAATGATCCTCCCAGACTTTGTAAATGCTTCTGTACATTTGATAATGAAGTGTCAAATTTTGAAACCTAGTCCCTGTTATTGGTGCAACACCATTAGAGCATCTGTTACAGCTCTCACCTTTCATGACTACAGTAAGCACAAGAGCCATGGATGATGCAGCTTCCAAAGGAAGTTTTAAAGTGAGATTTCTCAGTTTCACAGACAATACTAAAACCCCTTTATGAATGTTCACATGATTTTCCTGTGAATCCAGACCGGCTGTAGAAACTCAGTCTAAAAAATGTGGGAAAAAAAAAAAATCAGCTGGGTTTCAGTCTATAAATAAAAACTCCCACATGATCTTTAAATCCTTTTCTGATCTTTATAAATGTCTTAGTTTTTAAAGATGGAAAGTTACTGTGAGCTGTGCAAGCTGCTTATGTTTGTAGGCAAATGACATTTTTAGTTCCTTGATGGAAGGAAACAGTTCAAGCATCCATGACTTTTGCTTCTCGTGTTGAATGTGATCAGCAATAGAAAACTTGCTTAGTGTATGCTATGATCTAATTGAAAGAGGATGAAGCCACCGTTCACTTAAATCAAATAGCCCATCATTTCCATGACAAACAGAATTGGGAATGATAGGCAACACAATTGATTTTTAAAATAGCATTATGGTTAGTAAAGAACTAAATCCTGCCATTCTCAGCATAGAATTATCCTCTTGAGCTCTGAACTTTTAGTCCTTTGGAGCTCTGCCTAAGTATACCACAGGATTTGGCAGGGTTATAACCATATTTAATCAGGGCTTGATCCAGGTTGCAGCAGACATTAAAAAGTTTTCCAGTGGCTGCCACGGACATTTGAATTGGCTTCTATGCTATATAAATTTGCTCTTTTTTCCAGGCTGCTGTATCTCCTGATACCATGTACCTTCATCACATATGAAGAGGGTCAACCAGAATGCCATGGTAGCCTTCAGAGAGAATTTCTTTTATTTTGCAGTCATACCGATCCAGATGTTATTTTAATAATTTCTCTAGTGCCTTTCTTAACATGAGGCAAAATACACCTTTAATAATTGCCTGAAGTTGCTTAGACTACCCCTCTGAGATGGTAATACTACAGCATGGCAAATAATGCAGCAATAGCTGGTGGTGGGTTTTTTTGATGTCCCTGAGATGTTTTCTGCTATAGTGTTGCTCATCACTTCAGTCTGCCAATCTGTTACCAGAGCCTCCACGACCTCTTCCTTACCTAGAAGACTTGACAGCAGTGCTTTCCAGTGCTGGGACCAGCACTCATTCAGTGCTGGCCTCTCCTTCAGGAACAAAAATGATCATCAGTCCAAGGAGCTCTGCTCTCATAGGTAAGTCAAGTGCTTTAAGAATTTTTTAGATTAAAAGGAGTTTAGAGTTTAGACTACAGTTATTCTTCCAGTTATCCATTACGGTTAAGCATCCGGCTATCCAGCCATGAAGCACTGGGACAAAAGATATCAAGCCAACAGTGTATAATTACTGCCAAATTGTTCTCAGAACTCAGAAACTCATTTAAAAAAAGGAGGTCCTCTTATCAGTGTAAGGCCCCAAAGCTGCATGCAGAATAAGGTCTCCACTGGGCCACACTTTTAACATGCTGGAAGAAGTATCTCTGCTCTCAGGGGCTGGCAATCTCCTTCAACACAAGACATGGCAAACTGGTGTGCCAATTTATCTAAAAGAAGAAACGCTTGTGGTTCTATTTTTCTTTTTCTTCTGCATTGGGTGTTAGTCTTTCCATATGTCTGCTATTCATATTTGTATATCCTTCTTCAGAGCCTTTTCTAGAGTTTTGCCTATCTCTCTAGACATGTTTTTCTCTTGCAAGCTCTCTGTTTCATTCTGTTCATTTTATTCCTCTTTGTTATATTACACAACCAATGTCTGCACAAAGCCATATAAGGAAAAAATCCCCAATGAAGTGCTTTTCTTCTTTCTGTCCTTTTCTGCCTTTCATATAGCTTTCTCATCTTTACACTGAAAGTTCTGTTATATGTTGTAAACTTCTTTCAGATCTATGGGTCTGATTTGTTTGCAAAGAGAATCTCATCTTTTTCTAAAGTTCAGGGTATATTTATTTTAAATTTTAATTTCTCACACTGATCTTGAGCCTCTACTGTCAGGCTAAGAGAGGCAAACAGCTTCTCTAATGACCCTGTTACTGCATACAGTGAAATCTTGTCAAGTCCTGCAGTTTCAGAACAATCTTTTATCCTTTTAGAGGCAGGGTTCTGAAACTTTTAGCAAAGGGTGTGTAGCTGGTCTGGAGCTCTGGTCTCTGTACCTTCCAAAACATTCTTTGCTTACATTTAGTAGCAATTATAAGATTTTATTTTCACAATGCAGGCTTTCTATTTATTTTTTTAGGTTTGTATGGTTTACTTTTCCCCATTGCTGACATCTGCATACATTTGCAATGGCTTTTAGCACACAGCTCTGGATTACAATTCTTCCTGCACAAAATCTGCACTGAAATACTCCTTGGTGGGAGGAATATCTGAAGGTATTTATTAGCATTGAATAAATCATTTTGAGTATGGTTTTATTGTACTCACTGTTGTAAGACTGAGTCACAATCCTGTTACATGCAATTCCTGTCAGGTTTCCAAAAAGAGGTCTTTAGTAGTTCTAGGGATTTTTTTATTGTTTGAAAGCAGTAACTGAACCACAAAGGGTGTCTCCACTGCCTGTATGTAACCACCTCTAAATTAATTCATTTGGCCTTGTCACCCTGTACCCTGCCGTTCCATTTCAGGGGCAAAAAAAGTCCATGAATCTCAACAGCAAAACAGTTGCATTCATGAGGCAAATCCCTCAACTTCACTGGAGTTTTACAGACTGGAATTTGAGGCCAATTATTATTAAAACCTAAGGAAACCTCATGAGAGACTTTTTCTAGTGAAAAAACAGCACGAAATGGGCTATCCAATCGATTAGAATGCTATAGTACAGTGTGCTGCATCATGTTGTCTCACTGAAACAAATACACAAAGCATTCATCTTCCATGTATGTTACTTAAATACACGGTCTGTAGTTGTACCAAAGAATTTGGATTCATCCACAATGAGAATCAGAGAATGGTTTCGTTGCAAGGGACCTTACAGACTATACAGTTCCAACCCCCCTAACAGGGGCAGGGACACCTTCCACTACACCAGGTTGCTCAAAGATCCATCCAGCCTGGCCTTGAACACTTCCAGGGATGGGCCATCCACAACTTCTCTGGACAATCTGTTCCAGTGCCTCACCACCCTCACAGTGAAGAATTTCTTCCTAATATCTAATCTAAATCTTCCCTCTTCCAGTTTAAAGCCATTGCCCCTTGTCCTGTCACTCCATGCCTTTGTAAAAAGTCCCTCCCCAGCTTTTTTGTAGGCCCCTTTTAGGTACTGGAAGGCTGCTGTGAGGTCTGCCTAGAGCCTTATTGTCTCCACGATGAACAACCCCAACTCTCTCAGCCTGTCTTCACAGAAGAGGTGCTGCAGCCCTCTGATCGTCTTCATCACCTCCTCTGGACTCGCTCCAACAGGTTCATGTCCTTCTTGTGTTGGGGGCCCCAGAGCTGAAGGCAGTACTGCAGGGGGGGTCTCACCAGAGCAGAGTAGAGGGGGAGAATCCCCTCCCTTGACCTGCTGGTCACACTGCTTTTATGCAGCCCAGGACATGGTTGGCTTTCTGAGCTGCCAGTGTACATTGCTGGGTCATGTTGAGCTTCTTGTCAACCAGCACCCCCACGTCCTTCTCCTCAGGGCTGCTCTCAATCCATTCTCTGCCTAGCCTGTAGCTGTGCTTGGGATTGCCCCGATGCACGTGCAGGGCCTTGCACCTGGCCTTGTTGAATTTCATAAGGTTCTCACACGCCCACCTCTCAAGCCTGTCAAGG